AGAAAAATAGTCATAGAAAACAATTGCTTTCTTATGGCTAAATAGAAATCTAACTTATGACTTTAAATTATCAATTTAACTGAAACTAGTATTAGATGAAAATATTTTTTAAAAAATGTGTATTTTCAAAAATTTCAGTTTTACATCTAATAAAAGTTATTTAAATTTTTGGTGTTACACTTTATTTTATAAATACAAGAAATAATTAACACAATGTTTTGCATATATAAAATTTTTAAATTTATTTTCTTCAATAATTTAATTCACTTGCACACTAATCTGAAATCTTAATAAGGACAAAAAATGTCAAGTGATATTTGAAAAGACACTTATCAGTTGCTACTTAGAATTTTCTTAACCAATTATAGCAAAAATAAATTCTATGATAATATTACAATTAGCTTAATATTTCTTAAATATTTAGTAATTTATTGCTATTTTTAACTGGAGAATTTAATGTCATACTGGGAAATAAAATGGTTTGGTTTTAATCCTCTCTCTGTCTTACTCACTCTCACCTTTTGTATTTTTTAGATTTTGGGATATAAAAAAAAGGTTGATTTGAGGTTGATTTGAGGTTGTTTTTTTGTTTTGTTTTTTTTATGCTAAATAAAAAGCTCTTGCTATCTCTTTCCTTTGCATTTGAGGAAGATTTTAGTCTAAAAACTTTATGTGGGGTACTTATTTGCTTTACATAGTTTAAAATTAAATTTAAGTAAATTTAGTAAACAACTTAATAAAAACTTATCAAGTACCATCAAAAGTAGTAATTATGTTTGTAGTTTTTCTTCACATCTTAAAATTTTCAATGCTTGCCGAGAGCAAATAAATTTTGAATTTTGATTTTGTTAATCAATTTCATTTACTAATATCTTATACAACTGCTTTTTTTTTTCTTTTTTTTTTCTTTTTTTCTTACAAAATAGTCATGTCATTTAAGTTGAAGAAAGGTTTTTGTAAGTTCTCTTTGATGTTTTTATTTTCAGCTTTGTAATGATATCTTGTTTGTTACAAATTTGATTTCCTATTTAGAAAATTAGTTTTTGGTCGGCTCAGTTGCAAAAAGTATGGGATTTTTTTTCTCTCCAATTCTTTTATTTAATGTGTAGTTAAATATATTTAAAATGTAAACCAAACTGATTTTTAATATGGCTGGTACAGAATCAATAAATTCATTTCTAAAATTCTTAAATTCTCATATTGACTCTTAGCTAATTTCAACATCTGTAAAAATTTTAAATGGTTTGAATATTAAATAACTTTCATTTGCCTTAAACCTAATAATAAAAAAGTATTTTGCAAAAGTAAGATTTTTGCATAACTAGTTTAGGAGAGAGATGCATTAAACTATATACCAGTTTATTATATTTTAATGAAAAAAAATATAAACTCAACATTATTATTTAATTCTTGGTTTTTGGTAAATTATGCTGCAAAGTCCTCAATGTTACCTAACTAAAAACTAATATTAAAATTTATAAATAATAATATAAATTTTGTGATTCAATCCTAAATATTTGCCTATAATCAACTAAACATGTAAATTCATCTTGTATACAGCTAATGCAATTTAGGATAATGTTTACATTGGTTTCATTTTCTTCATGTGTGCACATACACACATGTTAAGCATTTGACTTGTTTAATAATAGCATTTTTGTCTTATGGAGGATCTCATTTGTGGATGTGGGGCCCTTTTTGTAGTTGAAGGAAATAGAAAATTTTAATTTATTCTGATAATTTCCAAATTATGAACTATTGTTAGTAAAAATACAATTTTAAATTGAAAATTAATTTTTATCTATTAGTTTTGTCAAATCTTGTAGATATTTAATAGGGGATATCCTTGTAAAATGTTGATCTGAGCCATGTGCTTAATGGAAAGGGTCCTTTTTTCTTTTTTTTTTTTTTCTTTTTTTTTTACCACACATTCAAAAATTGATTTTTTTCCCTTTTTTCTTTTAGAATTAGAACTCTTAGGTTTTTGTTATATCCCTCTATTTATTTTTGGCAGATTGATCTGTATGCCTTGTCGTTGTTGTTATCGTTGTTATCATTTCCCTTTGTGCATTTTGTGATTTTGATTGCATCCCTACACTCACAAGACCTATGCTTCTCAGGATTTCTACAATACCTTCTCCTTTATTATTCCATCACTACTACTACTACTACTACTAAAAAAAAAAAATTTGAAGGTATCCACAAGTTGGACAGACAATTGAATCATTGAATTTTTATTTATCATTATTACCATTATTCTAAATATGTAAATGTAGTTTTAAATTTAATCTTTTAGTTGTTTTAAAAACTGTTTTGTCCACTTCATTGGTTTATTTTTCTTGTTATATATATATATATATATATATATATATATATATATATATATTATATTTCTAAGCTTGTTTTTATCTGAAATTTTTTTTTTTCTAGGCATTTTTTCTCTTATGTAGCACATATGTATTTGTATGTTGATATTTATATAAATATATATGTTAGATAAATGACATTTCATATTGTCTTCTATTCTCTCAAATATTTCTTTCCTCAGTAATTTGTTTATAATTCATTACACAAGTGATTATTGCATAGTTCATGTTCATTTATCTTTTATCATTTTGTCTGTTAATGTTTAAATCTGCTGAGTTCTGTCTCTAAACTTATATTATTTCCTGAAATAAAACTTTGATATTTATTACTTTAGAAATTTGAGTCCTAAATACTTGAATTCTCAAGTTGTTTGCACATATTTAACATCAAAGGCCTCAAATTACTATTTATATTGTCTCATTTTATGAATGTTTTTATTATTCAGTTTATTGTTTCAAAATTTTATGTCGATTTATTCTAATTTGGATCTTAAGATGTTTTTATTTTATTTCTCTGCAGACTCTAATACCTTTCTTTCAAATTAAATAACATATTTCAATTCATTTAACTTTAATTTTTAAAAATTAAAAGTATTAAATAAATATAAATTATAAAATTTCTACCTTGAAATTTTCTTTACATAAAAAATGTTGCTTTTTATTGAAAAGTTTAAATGCTTGCACTGTCTGAGTTAAATAAAAACATCAGAATCAAATTTTTACTGTGTGTGTGTGTGTTTTATTAGTATATTTGTTTATGAAGGAGAGTTGGATAATAACTTCAAAGGAAAAATCTTCATTATTTTAAAGTTGGTATTTTTTAATGATACTAATTCTTTTGATTACTGATTGTGAAACTAACATTACTAATATACAAGTTTATGATCATGAACATTCAGCTTTCAACTTGAAATCTAATCTTAATGAGACACAAATCAACCCTAAATATTACACGTAGTTGTAAGGTCTTGCTTTTTTTTTTTTTATTACTTTAAAGCAAATTGATTTCAGCTTCACACCCAATACATAAGATTTAAAGGAAAACCTTGAGTTTTGTTTTTTTTTTTGTTGTTTTTTTTTTTTTTTTTTTTCTTAGGTTTTCAATGTCATTTTATATGTATTATCTACAATATATTTGTATTTTGCCATTTATATCTTCTAGTTGTGCTAAATACATGAGAACACAAATACAAAGTTAGGATGAATTTTAGTTCAGTCATTATCAGAATGTCCTTCAAAAATCCATCTTTTGATTTTTTTTTGATTTTTTTTTTTTTTTTTTTTCCATGATTTGTTTCTATAAAAAAAATTGATTTTCAACTTAATCATTGTAAAAGATTACATGTAGAATTCTCATTACAAATATATGAAATGTTATAAAAAAAAAAACGTTTTTGTTCCTAGTCATTTAACAAAATATTTTTGGCTTAAACAAAACAAAAATCTAATAACTTGTTTCTCTTATGTTATTTTTCCAAAAGAGACAAAACTTGTTTATATATCACTTATACAACTTTTTTTTCTTAAGTAACCTTTTGTTAAAGTTAATTCTAATCACATGTTATAATCAACATAATTTGAGTGCTTCTGAAAACCTGAGAAAATTACTTGCTCATGTTTATGATAATTATATGGTTATGTTCTAATTTAACACTTATTGATAAATTCTAAATATTTTTTTCATATTAAGCATATAAACTAATATAAAATAGGCCTCTTCTTTAAAATATTAAGAAAATGTAACTTATTAACCTGTTCAGTAAAACCTTGTTTAAACATGAAAAATGTAAAAAATATATCTGCATTTTTCTGAAAGTTCTGTACTTAAGAGTTGCAGGAATTTTCTTTTTACAGTTGATTTAATTTGGATATCATTGAAAAAAAAAATAGGGTTTTTTTTTTTCTTTTTTTTTCTTTCTTTTCATTGAATTAAATCATTGACCTAGTTTTTATTATATATATATATATATATATATATATATATATATATATATATATATTAAGACGTGTCTCATTGAATAATTTAGGCAAATTTTGTCTACATATTTTCAATAGGATCCTCTCATAATCACAGACAAGCTTCTTAGTATCCTTATTAAAGGAAGAGAGAAAATTACCATGTTGATACATGAATATGTACCAACATGGTAATTTTCTCTCAATGAGACATGTCTTAATGAAAACATGCTGCCATATATATATATATATATATATATATAAACAATTTTATTTTTTGTTTTTAAATGAGTTATTTTTAAAGCTGAGCTCTCCAGTTTGAAATTGGGAAATAACTAGTTAAAAAGTAATAACTGTTTGTCAAATTTATATACAACCTATCCTTCAATATACTTTATTATGTTTCTTCTGTTAAGATTCATTTAAGTATTTTAACAAATATAATAAGGCTACACTCTGTCTTAATTCTACTTATGTATTAAATTAATCTCAAATGTACTTTACTTAATATATAAGATTGTTACCGCCTAAGTCTCCACTTTTAGAAAGGATCTAACACAATTGGTTTTTGTTTCAAATGCATACAAACCAGCAAGAATTAACCATATCTGGTCCTCCTGCAGTTTTCCCCCGCCTCTTTTCTCTCAATCATGATTTTGATTTTTCTTTTCTTTCCAGCATGAAAAGAGCAAGCTCCATGTCAGTACTTCACACAAGCAGTAAAGAAGATAAATTAAATGTAAGTATATTTATATTTTAATTATAAGCTTTTGTTTACATTTACATTCCTTGCAAAATATGAAGTTTAATTTCTTTACAAAATTAATTTTTGTAATTTTTACCCACAAGCTAACTATATATAATTCTTTCTCTTTCTTTCCACTAATTAGATGACATGTTGATCATGACATGGAGATACAGGGAGAAGAGTGTAGTTAATGAGTAACATATTGCTTTTACAAAATATCCCCTATAATGTACTCGCTTTAGTAATAAATTTTTGATACTTAAAAAAAACACCTCCAGGATGTTACCCAATTAGTTTATTGTATATTCATTTACTTATCTGAGCAAGAGTATAATTTTCTTTTCTTTGAATAGAATTTAATAGAAAAAAATCATCAAATAAATTTTTGAACATGAAGGTATTTTTATATTTTTGATATTAATTTATTAAACAGTACTGTCAAAACTTAGGATATTGCTTTATGTTGTAAGCTATATTTTTACTGACTGATTTTTTCTTTCTAGGTGACTTTTTAAAAAATCTTCCAATGTTTAATTTAAATGTCACAATAAAAAGAATATAATTGTTTTGAAAACTACTCGAGCACAATTTACAATGTGATATCCTAATTAGAAATTATATAAAGCCAATATTTAAACATTTATATAATCCATATTGACATGAATTATGTAACATTTGAATATGAAAAAAATATTAACCACAAAAGTAGAATTTAAAAAATAAATCTTCCCTAGATCTAAATGTCTCCAAATCTAAATCCTGTAATGTGAACTTATTCCATGAAACAAAATAGTTCTTAACCATTTTACTTTATTATAACAAATGTATGAATATGTAATAAGTTGTTTAAAATCAGATGTTTATTTAATTTGTATATTCAATATTGTATATTGATTTGAAAGTTGTGCTAAACTTGGTCTTCACACAAATTGGTTTTTAATTATCATGTATATTGTTTGTAATAGTTTTGTTTTATTTTCAAAATTTTTATAATTATTTTTTGTCTTTTTGTAAACAGTATTTCTTAAACTTTTTTCATGGTACTTGATGTTGTTGATCAATTACCAAATTTTCTTTTATATGAAATAATTTATTTTTAAAAATATTTTCTTCTGATATATTCAGGTGGAATTGTAAAGGATGTTTATTCAACAACTATCTACATTCTCATCCTATTACTAAATATTCTCTAGAAGTAATTCCAGTAACTAGATTTGTGTACAATATTAACACTTGTATATCACTGCTCTTAGTCCTGATTTTTCACTTTTCAATTAGGCCTTTAACAAAATAATGTTATTTGTAGTAGTTATAGTATCTTTCAACATTGTTAAAATATGAAGTGTCAGTCATTAGTTTGGGATTAACAATAATTAAAGTAGAAAATCTGAAATAGAAAAGACAAAAAATTTCAAATAAGACAAAACCCTGTAAAGACCACAACAGCCACTTTATCCATCAGTTATAAAGCAATTTTCCAACTTTATTTTTCAGTGTATGTCAGTTTTAGTTGATGTGAAATCAATTTATTGTAAATTATAAAACTAAAAATCTAGATATAATCCAACAAAACAAAACCTGTACATTGATGTATCCTCTTTTTAAAAAACAATTGAATAACTGGTTGAACAAAAGTCTGTAACCAAACAGTGAAAATAATTAATTTACAAACTCTGTATCAAGAATATTATTTTAATATCTTGAAATATATTTAATTTAAAAAATTTTTTATTTTTTCTTACAGGAAAACCGTCGATCTATAGGAGACCTTAGTATCCGTTGGAGAACTGCAAGCTCAGACCAGTTGTCAAGTCGGCCTTTTTGATGTTAATTTTATTGTACAGCCAGCCTATGTGTATAGCATGCCAACCCCCCACCCACCCAGCTTTTCTTTTCATGCTGCATCATATAGTTACTGTTTTACTATTAATACTACTTTATTACACCACCACTCGTATTATTACTATTACTACTACCACCACCACCACCACCACCACTCTTGCTTCTATTACAACTATAACTACAACAATTACTACTACTACTACTACTACTAAGTTGGTCATCTGATCACCCAACTCATGTCATCTTTAGAATTTGGGCAAATCTTTGTTTACTTTGTACTTTTACTTAATCTTTTTCTTTTCTTTTTTTTTCTATCATTAAACTGATACTATGAAGAGTTTTTTTTTCTTTTTTTTATTATAATAAAAAAAAAAAAACTCTCTGAATGATTATGCTGAGTGTATGATGCTTGAAGTGTACAAAAAGTCATCTTCACACCCCTTCCTCTTTTCTTTAAAATGGTTGCACATGAGGGAAGAGAAAGAATTATTTAAAAACAAAGTTACATAATCTTTACTTTCCTTATGGAATTGTAGGAAAACCTCATGCACTTCAGCCATATAGTTAATTTGATTGCATTAATATCTAATTTTACTTTTTCCCTCTTTATTCAATCATATCACAATGATTTTAGGTGCCACATGAAAAGTACAGTAACAAGCCTTATAATATATATATTTATTACAATAACCATTTATTATTTTTGTCATTAATCTGCTTTTTATGTATCAACAAAGGTGTTAATATGCTGATTCAGTATAAGAAGTGGGAAGGGATAGGTGCCTATTATAAACTGATATATATTTTCATTGATCTCTGTTCACCTGCAAACTTCCTTGCAACATTTGTATGCATTCCAATGATTCAAGACAAGTGTGACATAATCAGTGGTTGGCTGTCATCCAGCGCATTCCAAATGATGACGACTGTCAGATCAGGTACATATCACTTGTGTGTCAAAGGCAACATTTTACCTTAACAGTTGTAATTATTACAAAGTCAATTACAACTAAAAAGCCTCACAATGCATGCTCCCCCCCCTTTCCCTGCCAATGGAAACAAATAACTCTACCAGTGATACAAAATCTGTTTCCAAACTTTCAGGGGCACAAGAAAGTCATTTTGATCTTTTTTTTTTTTTTCCCTTAATTCTTTTTCTCTTTCTTTCTGCACAACTGTTGCTGTTAAACAAGAGCCCGAAAAATATAGAGGGGGTGGGTCTTCTTTTTTTTTTTTTTTTTTTTTTTTTTTGCATGCTCAGAACTGATGTAAAGTGTGTATATGTGGGTGTGTGTACATATGTGTGTGTTTTTTTTTTTTTTTTTTTTTTTTTGTGCAAGGAATGTCTTCAATTATAGGAAACTGATTAATAAGAAATATTACTGTATGGCAAGGAAGTTATTTTCGATTTTTCGTGTGATATTTGACTGGAGTTAAAATTGGGTGAGACAGACATGTATTTCCCTATTGGGCCTAGGCAGCTATCCCTCAGGTTTTTTTTTTTCTTCTCTCTTCTCTTAATGTGCAACCATAAAATTATTTTTTAATTTATTGAAAACTTCCATCCATTGTTTGTTTTTTTTTGTTTCTTTTTTTTACCTGTAGATTTGTGCTGCCATATATGGTGTTTGTGTCTGTAAAGTGTACAGCTTTATTCACTAGAGCACAGCAAAATTTTGGATTTGTTTGGTGACTTGTGGTTTCACTGTGTATAAATAAAATAGAACTAAGATGTAAATAACTTAGACAAAGAACAAAACTCTTTTCTTTCCCCCCCCCACCATTTTCTTTCTCAAATTTTTTTATGCTGAACATCATAGCATAAATGTAACTTTTTGTGATCCAAATTAATTTTTTTTTTTATCAAAGCATTTTGCTTTATTATAAAGAAAAATTAAAATGTTTTCTTCAGAAGAAAAAATAATTTAAAAATAATTTAAAAATGATGTTAAACTGTTTAAAAAAGGAAAACAATTTACAATGGAGGAAAATTATTTACATAATTTTTTACACACATATACATACATACACACACAAACAATGTATTAGCTCAATTTGGCCAAGAGATGAAGTAAGCAACAGAGCTTAATTAAAGGACAAGAAGCAAAGCCAACCCTGCTTTGACTCTTCCTTGTATTTTATTTATTGCCTGCCTTCCTGCATATATATATATATATATATATATATATATATATATATAACTTATTTATATTTAATGTAATCTTGCACCCTAAGTGATTTTTTTTTTTTTTTTCAATCCCTGTATCTTCGATAAACCTGCTAAATATTTCAAAAGAAAAATCTTGACCCTAGTTGTATTTACTTCACTGTTGGTGATGACTGTTTTTCCAACTGTACATCAGTTATTAGTAACAATTTTACTAACACCATTATTGTCATCATCAATTAATCAATAGTTTGCATTAAATAAACTCACTCTCCCATTGACATCTATGTGAAAAATATATTCAGATTTACATATCTATAAGTGTAAAATTGCTTTGATATTGCATATCTAGTATAAGATAATAGGCACATTAGTATAGATGAGCTCATTTTAAAAAAAAAAAAAAAAAAAAAAAAACTCTAGATTTTGGAAATTATAGAAATTCACACCACCATAATCTAATTCTGTATGAATTGGTTCAAAAAATTTTAATTATTTAAAATTTTCCCACTTTTCTCAAAGTTGTGTAATTATTGTTAGTTACATTAGGCACTTATTATTTTGTTTTTAATATAATTAATCGTTGCTACATAATTTTGTTTTAATTCAAATGTTAAAAGATTCTTTTTTCTTTTCTCTCCCTTTTATCAAATCTATGAGAGCAAAAGATTACACACAGTTCTAAATTTGATCTGCTCTATTTTGAAACTTCTGGAGTGGCGATAAATTAACAGTTACCAGCTTAGAGATTTTGTGTATGTGTGTCTGTTGCATATTAGGGATACTGCAGTATATTATTCCCATTCCCTCCCCAGCCACATTCTTTCTTTTTTTTTTCTTAATTGATATTGATTACTTCTATTTAATTGAAAAGCGGTTTATTTAAAGAAGTATAAAATATTTGTTGACTTTGGCAAAACAAGTGGCAGAGCTGCTTTCGTAAGCAAGCACAAGGACAACAATACATGAAACAGTCAAAATAGATATCATGGTATGCTGAGAATAACTTAGGTGAAAATGCATCCATCGGATACAAATTAGATTTACAAAAATTTTGATAATTGACTTGTGAAAATTTGTTAAAATTCTGTATTGATATAACTTTTAATTTAATAAACTTTTTTTAATTCATTTTCCTTTGTCTTTATATGTAATTGTCTTTCAGTGAAGGTTCTTTTAACAAAGACATTGGTTGGAATGTTGTGTGTTTAGTGTTGCTATGGTTACATCTGGTTTTTCGGTATCTGCCTCTCCATTTGACTGACTATACATTAGCTCTGTTGTTTGCTACTCTCCTTTATTGGCTGTCAAAGTTAAAAAGCAACAATTTTTTTTCTGAAATTATTTCAAAAATGAAATTATTGCATTTTGTAATATCTTCTATTGATGACATGAAATGCATATACATAGATGACACTTTTTATTTATTGCATTTTTTTCCCCTATGAATCAATTTTTTTCCCCTTTTTATTTATTCTTTTTCTCTATCTCTCCATTCCCTTTTATTGTTTTCAACTTGTTTTCATGTTTTTAAACACCTAATAACATATGGTGTTATGTATTTTTTTGTTAACCCAAAATTTTGTTTTTATTTTTGTTTCTTCCTTCAAGAAGTCAGTCATGCCTTCTTCTGTCAGATGTAATTATTGGATCTTTCCTGTGATTGCTACAATCATATACAGTCACTGAATAAAGCTTAGTTCATCCATGTTGTTGTTTTTCTTTTTTTCTACTAAATTATTGCTCTTTTAAAAGGAACAGGTGACAATTTTAAGGTACAAATGCAAAATAAAATTGGCATATGTATATAACAGTCAGCTTAAAATGAACCCTACTGACTTGTTAACCACACCTTTTAACAATAATTTTCTTTTTAAGTTTTCAACTTTTCCAAGTTGAAACAATGAAAGTTAACTCATTTTTGTTGATAAACTTGAATTAGAAAAAATATTACTGAAAGTTTAGTTTATAACATTTGAAAGCACTTCACAAATACAGCAACTAAATCAGATTCAAATGTAAGAAATAAGCATCTGAGATGCCTGCATCAGTTTTAACCAGGTTGAGTTTACCTATATACTACAAATGGTAATTAAAATAATAATTTAAGTTTTTGAAGAACTGAAAAAATTTCAAGAATGCAAATAATTTGATACTCTATCTTTTGTGGCATCCTTTTGTTAATTCATTAGTTGTGAATAGAGATTGGTCCAAATGGTTCACCCACTGACAAATTTGTTTCTATTTTGGTGAAACGGGAGAAAAAATGAAATTGTTCTGTGCTTATTGTTTTATTTTCAAACTGAAGAGTTGAACTCTGGGTTTACTGATATAAGTTCTAATCATATGGTTTTACACAGAGAGCATGATCCATGTTTTGTTATCTACATGAAATTGATAAAGTTGAGGAAAGGTCACCAATGAAATGTTGTTTGTGCCTAGTTACATAGCTATAAGATAGGAACAGCAGGATATATTTATATAATGTTTTGTTTATGGGTGACGACTGTTCAATGTGAATTTCTAAGTGTTGCTTCTCCTTTTACAGGTTCTATCTATAGGTCACTGGGTGATAAGTGAGGGAAGGAAGAAACCAGCCCTTTCCAGTTTTTTTTTTTTTTTAGGGATAACACTGATGGTTATTTGCAATCATGACCTTTTTGGTTTTTATTAATTATTTTAAATCTATTTAATGGTAACTGTAGAACAGAATATGAATGCCCACTACCTACCAACTAATGTAATCTACCAAGCTACAGTAGCATCAAACAGAAACTCTGAAAAATATCTATGGGAATAACAGAAGTTACTGAAAA